CGAATGTCTGGCCACCTTCTGTTTGGAGTTGTTCGGATATACTCAAAGCAAGTTGAATACTTTTCTGATGACTGCAAAAACTTACAAGCTGTGTTATTTAAGGCCTTTTCGTCTACAAATGTCAATCTACCGGCAGATGCCACTCATGCACCATACCACTCCATTACTTTACCAGAAACTTTTGAACTTGATGCCTTAGTTTTTGATGAAGATTTTGACCTGAATAGGTATTCTTGCATTTTACCTTTTTGATTGTCATCTAGAATCTGTAGTTAATCACCTGTGCATTTTTATTTCCAGGTTTGAGGACACTCATCTTAAAAGTTATGAAGAGATAACTTTGGAAGGTACACATTATGTTGTTTACTTTAATTCTTTCTTTATATCTTTTTCTGTTTCATTTTCAATTGAACCTTTAGTTCTGAAATTCTCTTTTGCATAGATCAAATTCTAACGCGTGAAGATCAGTACGTAGCTATTCTCATTGATGAGGTGGGTTTATCTTTTGCTTCATATTAGCAAGGGAAATATAGATTTTTTCACCTAAATTGCAACACCAGTTTGACTGGAAGTTTGTCGTTACAGGACATAGCAAAGAGTTTGTCAAAATCAGGTGAAGTTTCTGGATCAGGTGCCATGCCTATGGAGACAGAGTACGGATCTAATTGACTGTAAATGTTGATTCTCTCCATCTATTTACAAGGTTTATAATATACGTTTCTTTGATGCTGTAGTTCTGATCCTTCAAATCCAGATGGAACTGCTGCTCAGTCCCTAAATTCTTCCCCTAAGAATCAGTCAGGACTAAACAGAGAAACTGTTCATAATGACATTCCTCAAGATATTCCAGAAATTGAAATCATGCGTGATGCTGTCCGTGATCATAGTTTTGATCATGTTCCCTTGTGGTCAGACCAAGGGAATGATGTGATGGAACCAGATAAAATTCTGGAGGAACAGATCATGAGAGACAAGGAAACTACCAGCCCAATTGTAGAAGAGATGGGGGGCCCTGAGGGGCATTCTATCCCGTCTCAACAACAGCAAGAACCACCTTCTGCCACTTCAGTGGATGCTCACGAATTTGCTGATCCACAAATGTCATTTGGTGGGTGCAGGAGTCTTTATTCTTAAACTGAAATTACTCATATGTCACGTATATACTCTAATACGGAACTCCTTGTTTTCATTGATATTCAGGCCATCAGTCACCTGATATAGCACTTCGATCAACACCCCCTCCTGAGATGCCAAAATCAAGGGGAAGAAAGCGAAAGCTACTCAAATATGATAAGGAATTAGTATTGTCGAATAAGTATGTTAATGTTCTGTCATCATTAATACTAATATATATGTTTTCAAACATTAGTCTTTCTGACAATGTATCATGTTCAACACTACAGAAAGATGAGAAGGGATCTAGAAGATACCGGTGATTTAGTACGCCAGAAAAACAAGGCTCCCTTTTCTTGTCTGGACATCTGGAAACAAAACAATAGACTAAGAAAAGATGGAATTTTATTTGAGCCTTTAATAACTGGTGGGTGTCTCGTAGTTACTATCTTTATGAGTCCGAATGTTCTCCGCCTGACTCTCAGCTTCTGTAAATTTTTGTAGGATTATGTGATGATCTTTGTAATATCTACAAGGAAGACTTCATTTCAGCAAAAGTCAAGACAGCTTCCCCACAGGAGGATCATGCAGAGCCCAGCTATAACCAATCCCCTACATCTGGGAATGATCTTCCGATGGAAATTGAAAGACTACGTGATAACCAAGGCTTTGAAAGCACTGATTTGTTGTCTGAAATTTTGCCTTCACCAAATAAGTTCATTTCCTCTCCACTAATGTCCATGCCTTCTACAAGCAGAAGAGATGATTTCACTCCTGCTACTACAACTTTTGGGACAGAATCAAGTCAAATGGAAAGAACGACGGAGAGTGAGGTGCTCCCTACGCCCGACCCAGCAGCATTTACTGGGTACGTTGGTTCTGATATGGAGACCCCTTCAACATGGTATGGAGAGGGTCTAGGTGTGGAGACTACCGTTCTGTCTGATATTCCTGAGTTTGACAATTCTGCTGGGGTATGTTTGATCATGCTTTCTTCCCTATTAAAACTGTGACGCATGAATCTAATTTGATCATTATCTAGATAACTGTTTCAGCAGATTATTATCATCTAGAGTAACCTCATTAGCCCCAGAACACATCTTTAAATCTATTTTAGGCTAGGATTTGTAAAGATAATTAGACTTCTACATTTGATGTGAGTGGAAGCTTATGGTTCATATTTGAATGTTCTAGTGGTCACTTCATTCTGTGCAGTGGTGGAGATAAGTGTGTTGAAGGGTGTTCAATTGAATCCCCTTCGTTGGAAAATTATATTATACCAATAGGGTAAAAACAAACTTTTTGGTATATTTAAATTGTTGAGTCTCCTTGATAAATAAGTGTATTCACTCACTGTTCAAGTTTGCATTTTTTTGAATCCCCATGTTAGGATTCCTGGCTCCGTCATTGATTCTGTGGTCAAATTGTTGAGTCGATATGATGATTCACTTTAGTTCTTCCCTGTTTTACATCTGATAAGTTGCTAAATACCAATGCAGGATCTAAGTTTTCTAGAACAAGATGACAACACTCCTATAGGTGAGCTAAGCACCTCTTTTTCCCTTTTTAAGTTTAAGGTTTTGTCGTAACTTGGATAATTTTGTTTGATATTATATACTACTGTCTGCAGCATCATATTACTGAGTTTTTATTTATTTATGATGTTAACATATGCCTAAGGCTTGTATATCCATTTGCTAAAGCAGGACTTCGAGGAACTCCCTCGTCAAGTAAGCAAGGGGGAACACCAGAGTTTGATACATTATCTGCTAGAACAAGGTAGCATTCAATTAAAATTATTTTCCTTATATTGATTTACTTTGCAAGACCAGTCTTTTAAGTTTTAACACTATGATTGCAGAGCTGTGGCTCAATATTTGAAGGGGCAGTCACCAGCAACCCCCATCTTAGAAGATACTGGAGATCTCAGCTTAAATGCAATTTTAGAAGGCAAAAAGAAAACAATATGTGCTCGAATGTTTTATGAGACTCTGGTAAGTCTTCATATTTCCGTGATTAATTGTGCATACTTGGGATGCAAGTTAGTTCCAAATATTGGGTATCTTCAAATCTTCTAATATCAGTATCACTTGTACTACTAATACCATATGTATTAAATTTTTAACTCTTTGTGGGTGTTTGATTGAGTCAAGAAAAAGTGTATACATAAGTTCTCTTTTAGTTCATATATATGATATATGCCTTATTGCTTAGTCAATCATCATGTTTGGTATGGTGTGTATATATTGTTTGAGGAACTATTTCAGCAGATTTTTACTTACTGTCTTGTGGAAATTGATTCCAGGTGTTGGAGAATTGCGGACTTGTACATGCGAATCAAAATGAACCTTATGGTGATATAACTTTGAAAGTGACTTCCAAACTGAAGGAACAATTTTCAAGCTAAGGCCATTGTGTAGATCTATATATAGAATAGAGGTAAACTTTTACTCCTAGTTTTGGCTGCATCTTTTATATTGTTTAAAGAAATTAAAGATGCAGTTTTCTTAAAAATGATACTCATAGTTTTGACTGCATCCTATATTTTTGTCAATACAGAGAAGTTTAAGAGGTAGATTTTTTGCAAGGCTTCACATGGTATGTACTAAAGATAAATGAAAACTAAAGCATCAACGTCATTGCTCTTCCTCTTTACATAAACATGTACTGGGACTAAAATCGTCTTAACTCTAACCAAAAAATTGGAAGTATCAAGCGAGTGACTTGAGTGATTGAGATTTTACTTTCTTTTAAGTCAATGAAGTGGGTTGAGAACTCGAGGACTCGGGTTCAAATCCAGCAGAGACAAAAACATTAGGTTATTTCTTCCTAACTATCCAAACCTTGAGGAATAGAGTTACGTGATACTTGTTGCTTGTTAGAGGTACCATGTATCTCATGGAATTAGTTGAGGTACGCACAACTGGCCTAGACACAACGGTTATAAAAAAAAGAAAAAAAGTTTTCCTCTCGGTTGCTCTATCTGTCTCTCTCTGAGTTCCCTGGAGTAGAGGCATTCATGCATTATGGAATATCTTATTAGACATAAAGAGCACTCCAATAGTCTTGTTGTGCCTCTAAAGCAGACACGCACATACAAACATGTATATGTATAATGCATCACATATGAATGTGATTTTCCGTCTATAATGCAGTTAAATTACTGTGCAGCATTCCAGAAGTCTTAACTTTTTTGGATTGCAAATCTAATTGTGATGTTCTTTGAAATGCAGTTAAATCACTGTACAGAGATGCAACATTCAGTAGCTTAATGAAGATATATAACCATGTCAGCCATTCAATAACTTAAAACAGTTATGTGCTGCTCCTCTATGAAGTCTCTCTGCCTTCCATTTTAATAGTTCCCTTTCTTTTTCTTTTTCCTTGTTTTTAGAACTTATTGTATGTTCTGTCGAAGCAATAAGTGTTTTATTTTGATGAATTTCACTCTTGAACTGACATATATCATATTGAAATTTGATGTCACATCTTAAACTATGCTTTCTTTGCAAGTCTTCAAGTTCTTTTCCTCTTGATCTCTAATACAAATGCGTCAAAACTGTGGGTATCATTTAGCAAAATGACATACACCGTTTTTCTCTACTTAAATGACATTTCTTATTTTGAAATGTCGTGGAAATTAATACGTATTTTATGTAATTTTCTGGAATACAGTCTATTTAACTTTTTAAATTTTAATACTCCATCTTATCGGACCTTTTGCTTAATAATTAACTTGTTAATAATTAGTTTCATCACTATACAAAATGGCCATAATCATGCATACGAGTTGGCCCTTTTAAGCAAAACTATAACGTATATAATTGTCCCAAACATATTTTCAAAATTTAGGCAAGATTTTTGCTGGATCTTAAATCACATTTGCGTAGCTCAAACTGATTGTCTGCTTATAATAATAACAACAAAATGTTCAACATTCTTTATTGTTCATGACATAGATTTCGAGGAATATCATTCTTTATTTTTCTCTATATCACACATTTATTTCAGCTTTGAGGCATCACTTATTTTTATTTTTTATTATATCAGGGAAGGGAAGGGAAGAGGATGTTACACTACTGATGGGGTTTGAACCCCGAGGCCTCACTTGGTTGCTGCTTCAAATTGAGCTTTGTATAATGGCACTAATAATTCTCTAGGAGGGAGATTTTCCATGATAATTCTACAGCTCAAAAACTCATCAATCCATTTGCATAACTTAGGAAATTGTTCTTTGGTCAATAGTTCCAATCCTAGTGATTCTTGAATTGCTCCAAACCAGTGAATGTAACTGGCAACGATGTCGAGGAATCCAATGTTGTCTCCTCCAAAGAATTTCTTATTTTGGAGTTCATTTTCAAGAAATTTCAGGAGCTCAGTAGTTTCTTCCCAACCTTTCTCCTTTTCTTCTCCTTTGCTGGAAACAAGTTTGTATACCGCAGCCAATAACTGATAAGAAATTTCTTTAGTAGATGCAGAAAAAATAATAAAAGAGTTGGATAAAAAACTACATATTTCCATTGAAAAGAAGCTATTCATTTTAAACCCTCCTAAATCTATTTTGAGCAAATGTTTTTGCTCATCCTCTTATATTTATAGCCCATTTGGCGAAACTTCTTTTTGGTCAAAAGTATTTTTTCGGTCAAAGTTAAGGTGTTTGACAAACTTTTAAAAGGAAAAAAGTACTTTTAAATAGAAGTAGAAATAATTTTTGAGAAGCAACAAAAAATAATTTTTTTCCAAAAAGCACTTTTTAATAGTTTGGCCAAATACTAATTGATACTCAAAAATATTTTTAAACAAAAGAAGGATCCCTCTATTTCCATTGATGACTTGATTTTTTTTTTTTTCAAATTTCGAAATCCTTTGTGGAATAGACCAAATCATAAGAAAATTTGAAAATCAAGCAAGGAAAACCACTTTTTATTTTATGCTTCACGTCCAGGATTACGTCTGGGATCATTAGACAAGAATCCAAAGATGAAGAGAAACAAAAAATGTTGTATGTAAACGAAGAGTTTGAGAGTAAGCATTACACAATCTCCAAGATGATTTTTTTGAAAAAAAAGAAGAGAATAGAACATCCATTTTTCTACCGCATATCCTAGTTTGACACCAAGCAATGAAGCTCTTTCTCTAAAAGAATTTTCATAAATTCTTTTCTGCTAAGAGTTTGTCATCAAGAGACTAATTGCAATTAAATGGGAACATATGTATACCTTTTCATCGATAAACTTAGCCCAGAAACGAGCCATGGCTCTCTGATATGGATCTTTAGGCAAGAGAGGACACGTGTCTTCCCAAGTCTCATCAATATATTCAAGTATTATGAGCGACTCGCATATTGGCTTTCCATTATGGACAAGCACAGGGACTTGTTTATAAACAGGATTGTACTTGAGAAGTTGAGCACTTTTGTTAGACCTATCTTCTTCAATGTATTCGTATTCCACACCCTTCAGTTTTAATGCTAATTCAACTCTTCTATTAAAGGGCCCTGCTATAATACCATAAACTTTCACCTCTCCCATCTTTGTTTCTTAAGTTTCTTCTTTTACTTAGGATACTTAAAGAGAGCAATAATTTCATTGTTCAGTTCTTTTAAGTTTGGATTATGACTTCTTTTAGTGGAGAAGTTTCAAAATTATGGACTTCTCCTGAAGGATTACTTGAGTGCTTACCTCATGTTATGTTCACTAATTTAAGCGCATAATTACCTTTAGGAGAACAAAAAGAAGTGTCCGGTGCGCAAAGCATCTCGAGTTCACGCAGGTTCAGGGAAGGGCCACACTCCAGGGGTGGGATGTAGACAACCAACCCTAATGCAAATATTATATTAGTGTCTGCTTCTACGTACGGCTCGAACCCGTGCCTTATAAATTACACAAAAACAACTTTATCGTTGTTTCAATACTACCCTTCACCTCTAGGAAAATATGAGTTACATTTGATAGTTATTTGTAATGATCAAGCATACATGAAAATTTATTCTCTATTGCTTATAGTTTTGTTTCATCAATTCACAGAATGAATTTCTTGAGACGGAATTAAGATTTAAGTGCTGGGGAAACACACTATGAACTTCAAAAAAAAAAAAAAAAAAAAGGGTAAAAAAAGAATTTTCATATTCACTTTTGACTTTACTAATAGCAAAATTCACCTTGTTCGGGAACACATTTATAATGGCTTAAATTAAAAATTATGTGTATAACTCAAACGTGATTTTTAAGTCTTTTGATGACCTAAATTCATGATTATTTGGCATCTAGAACAATTAATTTTTTCCTAAAATAATGATTTAAAAACTAAAGTTTTAAATACTTTGTAGGAACATACTAAATATTACTTATAAAGTTATACTCACGTTACTATTTTAGCTGCCAAACAGATAATAATTTCATCGTCGTTCAAATAATATTTATTGAAATTTGTCTACTTTCGGTGAAAATTTCCACATAGTCTATGTAAATATTCAACAAAAACGGTCTAGGTAGATATTCAATTAATATTTTACAAGGATCACGGACCCAGCTTCGATATGATTAATGAACCTGTGTAGGTTTGCCTATTTATCCTTTTTAAAGTCATGTGCCTTTTATTTATTACTATTTCTTATCAATCATTCACAAATAAACTAATATTAATTAGTATGTCAATTTACCAACAAAAAAATAAAATAAAATCAACTATTTTTATTAATAGTAATCTAGTAATACCTTTCTATGATTGTTGTTATAAAAGTATTAGTGTCATTTTCAATTACTAGGTCATGGCACAATTAATAGTTGAGTAGTATTTTTGTGGTTATTTAAAAGAGAAAATGCAGCAGAGGAATTAAAAGTAAGCAGCCAAATAATTTCAACTTTAGAGAGCACGAAATTCAATTGGTCAAAAGTGGCGTTTATGGTGTTGAACATTCAATCAAAAAAAAAAAAAAAAAAAAAAAAAAAACAAAGGCAGTGATTCTCCTTGTCAAGCAAGAAACTGAACCTGCCCAACTTTCGCATGTTTCATTCTTTATACACATTTATTATTTATTAATCAATCATACTCCTTACCTTGTATCTACCTCTTAAAGGTTAAGGTTATAGTCTAATGATATTGACATATATATCACTTTACAGTTTACACTGCAAGTAGCATAAGGTTTAAATTACATTAAGGTCTTTCTCTTTCTCCATTGGAGGCATTGCTCTTATAAAATATATTGCTCTTATAAAATATATTTAATAGAAAAAGTAAGTAAAACCAACTATATCAATGTTTATCTGTTTATACATAAAGGTAGCTGGCATATGTTCACCTTTACAATATAAGCCAAAAATACAGACGGGTCTAGGATTTCGTGCACCAAAAAAAGGAAAAAAAAAAATTAAGTGGGAATTAATAAGTCGGAGCATGTGGACCAATAAATAATATTAGATTAATTCTAAAAAAATACATACATAAAATACCTAATTTGGCGGAGAGACTATGAATTTACATGCCCCAATCCAAAACTGGAGCCAAATATATTGCAAAAGACCAAAACTTTCGTTTTAAATGAGAGACAATTTCATATTTCATTTTTATTTCTCTTTACAAAAGAATGAACTTCTATATTAAGTGAGTCCCAACAAATTACTGTCATTACTCGTTAAGAATAAAATGGCGATGCTAAGATTAGCTAATTTTCAAAAAGAAAAAGTGTTATTCTTTTTATAATAGATTAAAAAGAAAATTGTGTTACCTTAAATATATGGACAGAAAGAGTAATTTTTATCATAAGAGTATATTTTTTGGGTTATAAAATTAGTAGCAAATGTTTTTTTAAGTGAATCATTTTCAAATATGGTTAAATAAAAAAATAAGAGAGTTAATTAAGGAGTACTGAAGTAGAGATCGCATCCCAAGTCAATATATTATTTGTCCACAACATATACTATAGTAGAAAATTCAGGAGAAATTAAAAGTCAAAATTTTGGGAAGGCAGTAGGAAGCTGCAGAGGTATGATAACGACAGAAAAAACATGGACCTCGATCATGATTTTTTCTAATTTACTTGGTCACCAAGCTTAGGACAGAAGCCACGATTGAAAAATATATATTCCCTATAAATACTTCTTCTATATATGGTTTTATTACTAGCATTCAGCAGTAAAGAACAACAATTGCACCTTCTCTTTAATTAAATTAGAGAAAGCACAAAAATATTATTCATAAGATGGCTTTATTTTCAGGGCTCTCGAGCTGCTTTAGTAGTGTTCCTTCAAAAGTTTCTGATGACGCTAATAATAAGTCAAAATCATCAGAGAAAAATGCAAAGAGCAAAAAGAAGACAAGTAAGGGTGCTCCAATTCCGGTTTCTTATTTCCCTATCAACTCACAGTTTTCGCGCTTATAAGTATTCTCAAAGATCGATCAGAAATTCTTAACAGGAAAAGGCAAAAAGAACCTTGAACTGAATTACAACTTTTGGAACTATTTCTACAGGAAAACCGTAAGATAAAAACAAACTTCTGCCCCAGTTTTGGAGTATTGGGAATATGGATTTTTGTTGCAATGGGACCGAACCCAGGGTAAGGCTGCCTACGTATCCTTTCGGAATCAGGTCGGACGTAGTTCAATGACTCAAAAAATTTATTGTTTGACTTCTTCTTTTTATTTTTTTTTGAGTACACAGGTTCCAAAAAATGGAAAACAAGGAAGAAAAATACAGCTTAAAAGGGGTAACAAAAGGGTGACACTTGCTTGGAATAGCGAGCAATGGTAGCCTTCGTCATCTCGATCTAAGAAAATCATGCGTGAAAGTTCCACAGTGGGTATATATCAGACATAATATCTTTTGACTGCATCTGCATTAATAGTCATGTCTGGTACCCGTCCTTCTTCATCTACCAAGTGCAAGGCCCCTTTTGGTAACACTTTCTTGATGATGTAGGGTCCTTTCCAGTTTGGGGCGAACTTTCCTTTAGCTTCTACTTGGTGTGGAAGAACGCATTTCAGAACGAGTTGGCCTACCTCGAAGTGCCTTGGACGCACTTTCTTGTTGTAAGCGCGTGCCATTCTTTGCTGGTATAACTGGCCAAAGCACACTGCTGCTAGCCGTTTTTCATCAATCAGCATTAGTTGTTCTAATCGGGTCTTTACCCATTATGTATCTTCAATCTCCGATTCCACAATGATCCGAAGAGAGGGAATTTCGACTTCAGCCGGTATTTCAGCTTCCGTCCCATATACCAACAGATAAGAAGTTGCACCAACAGATGTGCGAGCATTTGTGCGGTATCCCAAAAGAGCAAAAGGCAACTTTTCATGGCATTGTCTCGAACCTTGGATCATTTTCCTAAGAATCTTCTTGATATTCTTGTTCGCTGCTTCAACGGCTCCATTGGCTTTTGGCCGGTAAGGGGTAGAATGGCGATGCATAATTTTAAATTGCTCGCATACCTCCTTCATCAAATGACTATTGAGATTGACTGCATTATCAGTGATAATGGTATTTGGGATACCAAAGCGGCAGATGATGTTGGAATGAACAAAGTCTACCACTGCTTTCTTGGTGACTGCTTTGAAAGTGACGGC